GCCACTTTACTGAACTGATTGATGAGTTGAATTAGCTTTTCTGTGGAGTTTTTGGGGTTCTCTATGTATAATATCATATCGTCTGCAAATAGTGATAGTTTGACTTCTTCTTTTCCTATTTGGATTCCTTGGATGTCTTTCTCTTGTCTTATTGCCCTGGCTAGGACTTCCAGTATTATATTGAAAAGCAATGGTGAGAGTGGACATCCTTGTCTTGTTCCAGATCTTAATGGAATTGCTTTCAGCTTTTCACCATTGAGAATGATACTGGCTGTTGGCTTGTCATAGATGGCCTTTATGATGTTGAGGTATGTTCCTTGTATCCCCAGAATTTCAAGGGCTTTTATCATGAATGGGTGTTGCACTTTGTCGAAAGCTTTCTCAGCATCTATTGATATTATCATATGGTTTTTATATTTCTTTTTGTTGATGTGTTGGATAACGTTGATTGATTTTCGGATGTTAAACCATCCTTGTGCCCCTGGAATGAATCCAACTTGGTCGTGGTGAATTATCTTATGGATACATTGTTGGATTCTGATAGCTAAAATTTTATTGAGGATTTTTGCATCAGTGTTCATTAGGGAGATTGGCCTGTAGTTTTCCTTTTTTGTGTTGTCCTTGTTCGGTTTTGGTATTAGTGTAATGTTGGCTTCATAAAACGTGTTTGGTATTGTCCCTTCCTTCTCAATTTTTTGGAAGAGTTTGTGAAGGATAGGCACTAATTCGTCTCTGAATGTTTGGTAGAATTCATTTGTAAATCCATCAGGTCCTGGGCTTTTGTTTTTGGGGAGGTTTTTGATTACCATTTCAATTTCGCTAATTGTAATTGGTCTGTTTAGGTGTTCTATTTCTTCTTTATCTAGCTTTGGGTGATTGTAGAGTTGTAGGAATTTGTCCATCTCCTCTAGATTGTTAAACTTGTTTCCATATAACTGTTCATAGTAGTTACTGATTATTCTTTTGATTTCTGCTGTGTCCGTTGTGATTTCTCCTCTTTCATTGATGATCCTGTTTATTTGTGCTTTCTCCCTTTTTTCCTTTGTGAGCCTGGCTAGGGGTTTGTCTATTTTATTGATTTTTTCAAAAAACCAGCTCTTGGTTTCATTGATCTTTTGGATTGTTTTTTTAGTTTCAATTTCATTTATTTCTGCTTTGGTTTTTATTATTTCTTTTCTTCTACTGGTTTTGGGGTTTTTTTGTTGTTCTTTTTCTAGATCTTTGAGCTTCGAGATGAGGTTGTTTCTTTGCGTTCTTTCTTGTTTCTTGATGTGAGCTTCTATTGCTATATATTTTCCTCTTATTACTGCTTTTGCTGCATCCCATACATTTAGGATATTAGTGTCCTCCTTGTCGTTCAATTCAAAAACTTTTTAATTTCTTCTTTGATCTCCTCATTAGTCCAATGGTCTTCCAGTAGTGTGGTTTTTAATCTCCATGAGGTAGGAAAGTTCCTTGCCTTCTTTTTATGGTTTATTTCTAGTTTGATGCCTTCATGGTCAGAAAAGATGGTTGATATGATTTCAATCTTGGTGTATCTGTTGATGTTTGTCTTGTGCCCCAGTATGTGATCGATCCTGGAGAATGATCCGTGTGCGCTTGAGAAAAATGTGTACTCCGTTTTTTTGGGGTTTAGTGTTCTATAGATGTCTGTTAAGCCTAATTGCTCTAGGTCCTTATTTAGAGCTTTGGTTTCTTTACTTATTTTTTGTCTTGTTGATTTATCCATTGTTGATAGTGGTGTGTTGAAGTCTCCCACTACGTATGTGTTTTCTCTGATGTCTGTTTTCAGAGAGGACAACAGTTGTCTGATATATTTTGGTGCTCCTTCGTTTGGTGAGTATATGTTAATGAGTGTTATTTCTTCTTGAAGTATTGTCCCCTTGATCATAATGTAGTGACCATTGGGGTCTCTTTTTATCTTTTTGAGTTTGAAATCTGTTTTATCTGATATAAGTATAGCTGTTCCTGCTTTCTTTTTTGGTCCATTTGCTTGTAGGATTGTTTTCCATCCTTTAACTTTGAGCCTATTTTTATCTTTTGTAGCTAAATGTGTTTCCTGGAGACAACAAAAGGTTGGTTTTGTTTCTTAATCCAGGCTGCCACTCTGTATCTTTTTATTGAAGAGTTTAGTCCATTTACATTTAGAGTTAATATTGATATGTTAACATCTGTATTTGCCATTGTGTTTGTCTTTCCTTTGATTTTATTTATTTATTCTTTTAATAACTTTTTTTTTTTTTTTGGCCTTCTTTCATTGTTATTCGTCCCTCTGAGGTTCTGGCTTTAGGACTCCTTGTAGTATTTTTTGGAGTGGGGGTTTAGTTGCAATGAAATTCCGGAGTTTCTGTTTGTCTGGGAAGGTCCATATTCTTTCTTCAAAGAGGAAGGAGAGCTTTGCGGGATAGAGTATTCTTGGTTGGCATCTGTTTTCTTGGAGTCTGTTGACTATGTCCCTCCACTCTCTCCTTGCCGTAGTGTTTCTTCGGAGAAGTCTGATGTCAGCCTGATTGGTTTTCCTTTGAATGTTATCTGTTTCTTCCCTCTTGCCAGCTTCATTATTTTTTCCTTGTCCTGGATTCTTGGGAGCTTTACTATTATGTGTCTTGCTGTATTTTTCCTTTCGTCGTGGAAGTTTGGTGTTCTTCTTGCTTCTTGTATATCAATTTTCAGCTCCTTCTTCACATTTGGGAAGTTCTCTTCAATTATCTCTTTGAATATTTTCTCTGTTCCTACATCTCTCTCCTCTCCTTCTGGTATTCCTATAACTCTTATATTTCCTTTCCTCATGGAGTCAGATAGTTCCCGAAGTCTTTCTTCGTTCTTTTTCCTTCGTACTTCTCTTTCCTTTTCTGTTTTGGTTCTTTTTATTTCTGTGTCTTCAAGATTACTTATTCTTTCTTCCATTTCATCTATTCTGCTTTCATTGCTTTTCCCAGAATTCTTTAGTTCTTCCATTAATTCTTTGATCTCCTGCATTTCTTTTACTTCCCTCTTTAGGGACTCAATTTCTTTCTTGTGACCATTGTTTTCCCTCTCTAGGGACTCAATTGCATTCTTCTGATCGTTGATTATTTTTCCCTTATCATTGTTTTCCTTTATGACTTCTGTCAGTTTTTTAATCACGGCAATTTTAAATTCTCTTTCTGGAAGGCTCAGAAATTCTTCCAAGTTATTGTCTTTGCAATCTGGGGGCTGGCTTTCTTTTGTGGTGTGCTTTTTCTCTGGAGAGTTGCTAGGTTGCGTGTGGTTCTTCTCCTCCCTACTGTCTGTTTTCTAATTTGCCGTATGCATTGGGACACTGTGTTGTTGGGACTGGCCGGCATCTTGGGTGGGCTTCTCTGTTCCCCTCTGGTTCTTCCAGGAGTCATCTGTCAGTTTCAAGCAGCCTTTAATGGAGAAAGGTCCCTGTTCTAAAATGCCGATGTGGGGACACACTCCCCTGTGCGCCTGGTCTGCCCCGGTGGTGGGTTCCTGCTCCCCTCTGGGCTTGGACTGCAGGCCAGAGGGGTCTGGCGTGGGCGAACTTCCCCCGCTCACCTCTGGCTCCTGAGGAAGCCTTCTGCAGGTAGTCTTTACTGAAGAAATGTCCCTGTTCTAAAATGGTGATGTGGGACACACTCCCTGCGCGTCTGGTCTCAGGCACACTCTTCTGCGCGCCTGGTCTGCCCCGGCTGTGGGTGCTCGCTCTCCCTGTGGGCTCAGACTACTTGTTCGGAAGGAGCCAGGTGTGGGCTAACTCCCCAGCTGGCCACTAGCTCCTTCAGTAGCCTGTGCTGGGGTCAAGTCGCTAGGTGGCGCCAGAGATCTCTCCTAGAGCCCTTGGGGAGCTGATTTTCCACCCCGTGGGACAGGGAGCAGAGCGGGGATGGTAGGGTACACCTCAACGGCTTTGGGGTGCTGTGTCTGCCTTGTGCCCCACCGTCGTGGGGAACCCACGCCCCTAATTTCATGCCCCGGGTCTCAGTTCCAAAGCCCTCAGTTCCAGGACGCGGGCTGTAGCCCAGATCAGTGGTGCGGGAATGGCGCCTTTTGAATCCCGCTCCCCTGCCTGGGCGCCTTGTTCCTGCTCACTCAGGGAGGGCCTCCGCCGTCTCCCCGCAAGCCTAGGTCGCAGGCGCGGGGACCTGGGCAGCTGCCATCTGGTCTGGATCCGCGCCACTTTCCGCGCAGGCTTACCGGGCGGCCGGGGCTGTGTGCTGGGGCTGGTCTCCTCCTGGGCGGGGCTCTCTTTAATGGCGCCTGGAGCTCACCTCCGCGGCGGATCCTGCAGGGTTCGCCTCAGCTCCCATTCACGGGGTGTGGTGGCTGCAATAGTTCCTTTCCACTCACAGTCCCGCTTGCTGTGTCCGTTTTTCTTGTGGGCCGTTTTGGTTTGTTGTTTCCCTCCTCTCTGCCGGTCGGAGAGTGCCGACTTTGTGGGCGGGGGAGGGGAGCAGGGTTCTGCGCTTCCCTCCCTTCTCGTCCTCTTTTATGGCAACTTTCTTCTTCGGGCAGTTTGCTGGAGTCGTCCGTTTATCTTCCGTGTCCCAGTTCTCACTGGGACCTGCCGCTTTTCCTCCCTATTAACTTTTTTTAATGGGAGATCTTACTCGCAGCGTCTCCTCGCCGCCATGTTGCTCCGCCCTCCTCCCATAGTCCAAGCATTTTAAAAGACAAATCACAACATGACCAAGATTCAGCCCATATAGAATCCTTTTTTTAAGTTGGTCTATGCAGATGAAGATAATTATCTGCATAGGATGAGGATAAGCTTTGTAAAAATACTCTAAAGAAATACAAAATGATATTTTTGGAAGAAAACATTATATTAACAATTAGTATTAGCAGAAATAAAGTTTGCAATGAAAAAAATTGATTGGAAGAAAGTACAAGATTTGCAATTTTTAAATCCGATAAACTAAAAATTACCATAGTAATAAGGTTCTACCAGTTGTGCTGAAACACAGAAAGAGAGACACTCTCCAGTCTGCGTTGAGTGTAATGCCTATATGCATTACCTTTGGGTTTTACAGTTAGCTGGACAGACGATTTTTTCACTCCTAAGGGACTGACTGCTTGACATTCAAATTGACCTTGATCATGATGTGCTACATGGGCAATTCTCAAGGCGCCAGAGGAGAGAACTGAATGCCGACCTTCCTGTGGGAGCTGCCCTCCTGCAAAGATGGAAAGAACATACTTTGTATTGCATTTGTATGTCTTAACACACTAAAAGTTGTGATATGTCTTACAGAAAATCCTTGTTGTTACAGAATTATGTGATGGGTCATCTGGAACACTGCATCCAGAAAATATGTCCACCCATGACTAACTGCCCTACACTCAACAGAATTCTCCACCTTAATTTTTGCTCTATTGGTTTTGTTTACCGCAATTATAGTGTAAATTTCAAAATCAGTCTGACTTAACACATCAGTCTTGCTTTTGGTGTCTTCAAATTACCCTTAAAGTAAAAACTATAATTCTTAGGAGAATATATGAGGCATTATACAGTACATTTAGCACCTACTTTTATAGATGTATACCCCAGCCCTACTTAAATGTAGTATAAAAGACAAAATTTATCTAGAAGAGGAAGTATCTTTGCATATGTTTATATTTATGTTTTTATTCCTAGGTTATCCACCAAGTGATTATTAAATATAAATTTCAAATAATTATATAACATGTTTATCACATGCATGTGATACACGAGATCACCATTGTATTTCTTACCTCAAAAATTATATATTGAGCCTACATTCCTTTGGGTCACTAACAAATAAATTGTCAGTTATCTTCAACTATTTCAGCAAATACATATTTCATAAAATGTCATGTCATTGAAGGAAAAAAATAATAGCTATCCTTCATTATATACACAAAAAATCCTGGCTATTGTTATAAGTGTTTGGGTATAAATGCATTCAAATTAATCCCCACCATTCTTTGTTGTAGGAAATGTTACCTACCACAACATATAGATTTGGGGACTATACTAAATAGCAGTCAGTGTACTTACCCAAAGTCATATGACTTATAAACCAAATTGTGGAGAAGTGAGTCTTGGCTTTCTGGTTCCAAAGACTATTTCACACCTCACCCTAATATTATAGAGGCCAGAGTGAAAATTTCAGTCAAAATAAATTAAAAAATGTTGATTAATTTAGATTTTAATCTAGTTCCTGAACAAATGTAGATATTGGGGACTACAAATCCAGAGAAATCTTAGACAAGTGCTCATCTTGAGATTGTAAAGCTTATTCTGCAATTTTCCATAGTTCCCTGGAAATGCCTGGGTCCCTCTGTTGGGGACAAAGGATCATTTCTGCCAATTTCCACCCCTGTCTACACTTGAAAGACAGCAGCTCTCCTTTATCCATTTAATATGTTAGAGCTTCACATATAATATCATTTCATTTACAAGTTTATTTTGTACTAATAGAGAATACTGCCACACTTAAAAAATGTTTAAAGCCAATGAAAATTTCAATTTCAATTTAAAATTCAAGAAGAAGTACCAGAGAGGATGATTAAAGAAATCCAAAAAATCGAATGTTGAAACATTAAATATAATGGTTTATGGCATTTAAATCAAAGATGACTTTTTCTGTGTTTTTATGTCTACAACATACCTACGGTGATCATTTAAATAGTTTTTGTGCTCTCATTAAAAATAAGGTATTTATTTTTTTCCCAAAATCACTGTGGATATGGCAATACCTGCTTTTGTCCAGGCAATTACTGGAGGTGGATTGCCTTCAGCTTTACAGAGAAATTCCACAGTATGTCCTTCTAGCACCACTTGATCCTTGGGACTTATTATAAACTGTGGAGGAGCTAAAAAGAATGAAAAAATGCATTACATTGAAAGTTATTTTACAAAATTTTAATACCAAAGGTAAAAAGTGAAATATCTTTAGATAGGTTGTTAGAATTTGTTTTCACAGTAATCAAAACACTCCCTGAACAAAACCCCAGAATCAGTGCTCAGAATCAGTGCCCAGAATCAAGTGCATTCTACCAAACATTCAAAGATAAACTAATGTCTATCCTACAAAACCCTTTCAAAAAATTGAGAAAGTAGGAATACTATGTTATGAAGCCAACATTGCACTAATACCAAGATCAAAGACAATATACAAAAGAAAACTACAGACCATTCCCCCTAATGAACTCAGATGCAAAAATACTCAATAACATACATGTGAAGAAGTATGAACCTATAGCCCCAAATTATATACAATGTTGTAAACCATTGTTACCAATAATAATACAATAAAAAGATGTCTCTGATAAATGAAAAAAAAAAAAAACACAAATCTCTATTCGATCTAGCAAGTTGCTCATTTTAATGGTGAGAACAATGTGAAATGAACATTTCCTTACACTTTTCCTATTGATAAGATGTAGAGTATTGGGAAATTACAATTTTTTCCCATGAGAACACATGACTTATAATAATTTTTTCAGCTTTTGGCTGATTGTTTTAGTTATTACTAAAAATTTGAAAGCAAGGATGCCTTGAACTATCACTTGTCTTTAGTATCTACTTTTCTAATATTTCTCTTTCTGTGGTAGGAATCCATTTTTAAAGTTGAAATATTTTTGTTCACTCCAGTCATCCCAGTAATATAAGAGCAAATATCTTGTTCCAAAAAGAACATCAGGCTTGGGGCTGAGCAACCTAAATTTTCAAACGGCCTACCATTAATTAGCTCTGAGACTAATTCAATTTAGCCTCCTCCAGCCTGAATTTCTTCTGCGTCACATGGAGCCTAGAACTGTTGATATGTGGGTTTTTTTTTTTTTCTTTGTTTTGTTTTTGGTTTTGGGTGTAGAAATTTATTTCAACACATCGATAGAAGGGTAAAATGAGTTAGTACAGTACTTTAAGTTCCTGACACATAGTAGGTGCTCTACTTTCTTAGAATTCTATTACAAATATTTTCCAGGCATTCCCTAAGGGTTGTCATGAATTTGTGTGACCTTATAGTTTATTAACGCTACTTATTTAGCCTAGCTTACCTTACTTTGAACTGAAAGTTTTTTAAAATCTTTATTACCTGTACAAATATAAAAGTTGAAACAAATACACTCTGTCAAGTATTATTTATTTTAATCATGATTTCTTATATATTCAAATAATGAGCATGAGCAAATGGTAGCAGAAATTGAGAAAAAATTAATAAGAATAAGAAGCAATTTGTCAGGTCATCTCAGAAATCTTATTTGAAAAAGTAATCATTCAGTATTATTGAATTTCTTTCTCTTCTTTTAAAGATTTATTTATACATCGAAGAATTGGAGTGTAGGCCAGAGGTGTGGGGACTGAGAGGATTCACCAGAGACAGAGTGGGGAGCAGAACAGGCAGATCCACTGAAATACACTGCTAAGGAGAGCAACGAGTGAGTCAGGAGAGGTTTGCTGCACCATATGTGGGTTAACACAGGGATCAACTCAGGCAGCAGCAGTGATAACTTGATAGAGCTGAGACTTAACCCCTTTGGCACCAGGGAGGTCCTATTATTGAATTTCATTACATGTTATTTTAGAAGTCACATTGATTTATTTTTCATATTAAGGAGAGTCATAAATATATCCTATATGTGCTATGCTATTAATAATTCACTATTTAAATTCTATTGTAAGAAAGATCTGGATAGTTGGAAATTATTTGATTTTGATTTTTTTAAATATTTATTTATTTGTTTATTTATTTATTTATTTGTTTATGTATACAAGACCAGGGGTGTAGGCCAGATTGGGGCAGGGGTAAGAGGATTCACCAGAGACAGCATGAGGCATGGAACAGGAGGATTGACTGAAATACACTGCTGAAGGGAGCAGAAGGCAAGGCAGGAGAGGTCTGCCATGCCATGTGGGCTATCTTCCTGGCTGGGGATCAAACTCATGCTTCAGTGGCTGCCAATAGCTTCATAGTGCTGAACCCCGTGTGCAACCAGCAAGGTCCTGATTTTGATTTAAATGTAACTTTTTTACGGTATCATGCAAGTGTAACAGGAACAATCATATTAAGGAACATATAAGCAACTTGTTTCAAATTTTACTCTATGCAAATGATTTTATTAATGATTCTCTGTGTCTTTGTCTAGTTCTGGTTCAAGATAATGTTGGCTTCATAAATGTGTTTGGAAGTAGTCCTTTATTCTCAATTTTTTGGAAGATTTTGAGTAGTATACTATCACTTCAACTTTGGTAGCACTTATTAGTGAAACTCTCTTGTCCTTGATTTTGTTTGTTTACTTGTTTTTGGTAGACTTTTGATTACTATTTCAGATTCCTCATATTTAATTGATCTGTTCAAATTTTCTATTTCTTTCTGATTCAGTCTTGTATGGTCATGTATTTCTAAGAAATTTTCCATCACTTCTAGGTTTTTCAACATACTACTATACAAATATTTATGGCAATAATACCATTTGATCCTCAGAGTTTCTGAGATATATAACTTCACTTCATTTATAATTCTATTTATTTGAATTTTATGTCTTTTTGTTTGTAAATCTAGTTTAGTTTTGTTTTTTTCAAAGAACCAGGTTTCGGTTTCATTAATCTTTTGGGTTGTCTATTAAATTTGTATTTCATTTTATTTATGTTGTGATTTTTATTATTTATTTCTGTCTAGTCATTTTCTAGTTCCTTAAGTGAGAGGTAAGATTATTTATTTGTGCTCTTTCATGGTCCTTGATGCAGACATGTATTACTATATATTTCCCTCTTAGTGTTGCTATTTCAGTGTCCCATAGGTTTTGGCAGGTTGTGTCTTCATTTTCATTTGTCTCAGGTATATTTTAAATTTCTTCTTTGATTTCCTCATCAAACCAATAGTTACTCAGAAGTGTGTTGATCAGTTTTCATATATTAATTTTTTTCTGCTTTCTTTTTGTGGTTGGCTTTTAGTTTGATACCATTTTGATCAGAGACAATATTTGAAATGAATTCAATCTATATGAATTTATTTATACTTGCTTCATGATCCAATATATAGTCAATCTTGGAGAATGTCTCCTGCACTTCAAAATAAAGTTTGTTCAGTGTTGGGGGATGCAGGACCCAGTAAATATTTGCTAAGCCCATGAGGTCTAATTTTTTGTGTAAGGTTGTTTCCTGTCTATTTTCTCTCTGATTGATCTGTCCCTTGATGAAAATGGGATGTTGAAATTCCCAGTAAGTATTGTGTTTCTATCAGTATCTTTTCAGATTTGATAATTATTGCCTTATTTATTTTGTTGTTCCTTTTATTGCTGAAAGATATTGATGGATGCTATATCTTCCTGAACAATTGTTCACTTAATCATTATATAGAGTCCACTCCTGATTCTTTCTCCTTTATGTGGGTGTTTACTTTATGTGCTATAAGTATTGATTCCCCTACTTTTCTTTGGGTCCCCTTTGGTTTTAAGATAGTTTTCCAACATTTTATTCTGAACTTACATATTTAGAAGTCAGGTGTGTTTCTTGAAAAATGCAGACTGTTGGATTTTATTTTCTAATCCATCCTACTATCCTGTGCCTTTTGATTGCAAAGTTCAGTCCATTTGCAATTAGGATGATTATTGAAACATGAAGGTAGGCTACTGTCATTTTATCCTCAGTTTTCTGGTTCTATTTCCTTGTTTAGTTTCTATTTATTTAAAGCTTTATAGTTTTTATGTGTAGGTCTTTTACCTCTTTTGTTAAGTTTATTTCATTTTTTAATTCCTTAATTTTGTAATTGTAAAAGGGATTTCCCCCTTGATTTCTTTCTCTTCCAGTTTATTACATGAATTTACGAATGCAACAAATTTTTGTATATTGATTTTATAGCCTGTCTCCTTTTTTTAAAATGATTTATTGTTTCTCATATTTATTTAGTGGAATCTTTAGGATATTTATGAAGATAATTTTTATCTAATAGAGAGAAAATAAAAGCCCTCAACATGACAAAGGCAAGTATTGTAGTAGGCTGGATGAATTAGTGGGAATGATGAGGTTTACATTTCTGGGTCTTCCACTTACAACAGTGATTACTGGAGTCCTTTCTCAAAGGTAAAAACATCAGGTGATTATGTAAAGTTTTGTTGTTGTTGTTGTTTTTAATTTTAGTAAACCCATCATTCTGGAATTCTACAAAGTCCGTGATCATGAACTCTTTTAACAAAAAATAAAGAATTTTTATTTACAATGTTGGCTATAGAACTGTTCACCTAAATACCCCTCACTATAGTTCACACATTTCATTGGGGCTTTTTTTAATTTATTGCTGGTTGTTTTGTTTTTTTCATTTTATTTTTTGTTTAATCAGTTTAGGGAAGGAAGTCAATCTGTGGGAAATTGTGATTTTGACTTAAATGGACAATAAAGAAACTACAGAAAATTGAGAGAACATCTGTTAAGATGACTCAAAAGGGTTCATCTTAAAATATCTAGTCTATGCACTAGGCAAACAAAATAAGTCTCTCTTACAAATGTATTGAATGATTAATGGACCATCTCAAGACCAATTATAAATTTTGATACACAGATGTACAAGTGACACAAGCAGACAATTGCAAGGGACAAAATAGAAACAGATGGTGATTTCAGTGCAGACTAACTCAAAAAGAAATTAGCATATTATAGTAGGATAACTAAAGAGGGCCACAAATGGCTTCAGAGCTTAGTTCAACATCAGCTAATAGAGAATATTAAATTGAAAACCACAAATCCAAGTATCTGTGAAGCAAAAGACTGGTACAATGTGAAATAAAGAAGACTGTGTGCAAATGTTTGATTAGGCATTATGCTTCTAAAAACCAGATATTAAATTTAAAATAATATAATCAAATAAAGAATC